CGGCATCCAGCTACGGCGGATGCTGCGGCGGAAAAGGGTTGACATTCACGCCTTGGTGCTGGTGCGGCACGTGTCCTCTGATAGGGCTGGCATCGTTGAACACGTAAGCTGTGTGCCGCCTGTTGCGGGAGGGCAACCTGACGTTTTCATGGTGCCGCCAGACCAAATTGAAGTTCTGCTCAAACGATATGATGAAGTGTTCAAATCTGAATTACCAGGGTTGCCGCCATGGCGTGATGTTCCCCCTGTGATTCCCCTTGAACCTGGGGCAAAGCCAACTAATAGGCCAATGTTTAGATACTCCCAAAGGGAAGTTGAGGAAATGGAACGGCAAGTCAAAGATTTGCTGAAGCGTGGGCTGATCCAGCCCTCTTGCAGTCCCTTTGGGGCCCCAGTGCTGTTTGCCAAAAAGAAAGATGGTTCATTGCGGATGTGCTGTGATTACAGAGCTTTGAACAAAGTCACAATCCGCAATGCCTTCCCCCTGCCTCGAATTGACGACCTTCTTGATAAGTTGGGAGGAGCCAAGGTGTTCTCCTCCCTAGATTTGACAAATGCCTACATGCAATTCAGGCTTAGGGAAGAAGAAATTGAACGAACGGCATTCAAAACGCCGTTTGGACTATATGAATTCCGGGTTATCCCCTTTGGTGTGACGAATGCCCCACAGGCATTCTCTGCAGCCTTGTCTAAGATCTTTACAGGATATCTGGGCAAGTTTGTGCTCCTGTACCTGGATGATATCTTGATATTCTCTAAGACACCAAGTGAACACTTGCAGCACATTGAAATGGTGCTGCAACGATTGAAAGAGCACCAGCTGTACGTGAAACGTTCAAAATGCGAATTCAACAAGCCAGAAGTACACTACCTCGGCTTTGTTGTTTCAGCTGGTGGCATCAAAGTTGATGTCAGGAAGACACAAGTTGTCAATGATTGGCCTACACCCAAAAATGTGAAAGAAACACGATCTTTCTTAGGATTGGCCAACTACTTCAGACGTTTCATCCAGGGCTATGGCAAGATGGTGTTACCACTTAACCATTTGACAAAATCAAACGTGAAGTTTGAATGGACCGACCAGTGCTCTCAGGCTTTCAACCAAGTGAAGCATGCTCTCACGCATGCNACCTGTATTAGCATTGCCAGATTTCTCCAAACCATTCACAATCATTGCTGATGCCTCTGGTGATGCTGAAAAGGGAGCACTTGGCGCAGTTCTATTGCAAGATCAAAGAGTGGTGGCTCATGAAAGCCGGCGTCTAACCGGCGCTGAATTGCGCTACACCACCACTGAACAAGAAATGTTGGCTTTGATTCATGCCCTGAAGGCATGGAGATGTTATGTGCAAGGTGTTAAATTCACGGTTGTTACCGACCACCAACCGAACACCTTCTTTGAAACCCAGAACCTGATGAATCGGAGGCAGGCAAGGTGGCTGGAGTTTCTNGTCGCAGTTTCGCATTGGGTGGGAGTGGCGGCCCGGCCGGGTTAATGTTGCTGATCCGCTCTCGCGGATACCCCAGCTGGAGCCCACTCACGAAATTGCTTCCATACTGGGAGGGGTACGTGCAACGCGGTCACAAGCCGCTGCGCACAGCCAGTGTGCCACGCCACCTGAGTCGGGACACAAACCCTCTGTCATCGATTCCTTTACTCCTCTGGTGAATCAGTTGATTCTCGGGTATGCTGCTGATGTGAATTACAGCAAGAAAACTTTCACAGCTCAGTTGAAACTTGATAATGGGCTGTGGTACAAAGGGGATGCAGTGGCAGTCCCCGCTGTGAATGAAGTACGGCAAGCAATTCTGCAAGAATTGCATGCTGCCCCATATGCTGGACACTTCTCAGTGGCCAAAACTGAGAATGCTGTGAGACGTTTGTTTTGGTGGCCAGAATTGCTGGCTGATGTCAAGGCCTTTGTCAAAAAATGTGAATGTTGCCAACGCAACAAGTCTTCAACATTGAAGCCTCAGGGACCCTTGAAACCAATGCCAATCCCTGAGCAACCTTGGGAGAGTGTAGGAATAGACTTTGTGGTCAGTCTGCCAATGACTAAGACTGGCTTTGACGCCATTGCAGTCTTCGTAGATCGCCTGACTAAGATGACTCATCTGGTACCAACCACAACCAATGTTGATGCTGTGGGCACTGCTGAGATGTTTAAAACGCACGTGTTTAAACTCCACGGTGTCCCCAAGTCCATTGTGAGCGACCGCGGTCCCCAGTTTTGCAACAAGTTCTTTGAGCATCTAGCTGAATCTTTGGGATCCCAGCAGCTGCGCAGCTCATCTTACCATCCTCAAACTGATGGTCAAACTGAGCGTGTCAACAGAGTGATGGAAGACACGCTGCGGCACTACGTGTGCCCTGATCAGAATGATTGGGACAGTTGGCTCCCGATGGTTGAATTTGCCATCAATGATTCCAAACATGAGTCAACCGGTGAAACGCCATTCTATTTGAATTATGCCAGGCATCCCAGAATGCCTATACATCTTGAGTTGACTGGGGCTGGCAAAGAAATACGACAAGGCCGGCCCCCGGGCATGCCGATTGCACCGGCTGTGCAGAAATTCACAGCTGACATGCAGCACGCTTTGCAGCGCGCGAAACTGTGCCTCAAGGCGGCACAGGATAGGCNAAAAAGCCTATGCAGATAAGAAAAGGCGCCATGTTGACATTTCTGTGGGACAATTGGTTTTGCTGTCCACCAAGAACATTACGTTCAAACATCCTGGCAGTACCAAGTTTCTGCCCAAATGGGTTGGACCGTTCAAGGTCACCAAGCAGATTAATGACGTTGCTTTCCAACTTGAGCTGCCAGAGACCATGCGCAGGTTGCACCCTGTGTTCCACATCTCCTTGATCAAACCTTATGTGGCTTCTGGAACGGTGCAACCCCCCCCACCGGCACTGGTGGATGAAGAGGGTGTATTGTGGCGCGTTGACTCACTGCTAGATCGCAGAGAGACCAAACGCGGTCACAAGAAAGTTACTGAATACTTGATCAAATGGGCAGGCTTTGGCCATGAGCATAATACTTGGGAACCTGCCGATAATATTGGTGACCCTGAATTGATTGAGGACCTTGAGAGACGGCTGCAACAAACAGCAGCACACAAACAGGAGCAGAAGCGCGTAACACGCGCGCGGCGCTCTAAAAAGTGATCATGATCCACTACACCGCTAACATTCAACCCNCTGCCGGCGCACACCAACTGGCCCTCCCTCACAGGCCGCGGCCGGGCGCTGAGCAGCCCCCATGACGCTGCGATCTGCAGTCTGCGCGTGGCGGCGCGGCTGTTGCGCGGCAACTCCTTGATGCCTGATGACGCTCCTTCTCAAGAAGCAGCGGCGGCGGGACGTGCGAGGCACTCCCGCATTGAAGCGGCTGCGGCAGACGTCAAGACTGCCGCGGCGCGCTTGTTGTAGATACTCTGTGACTAGTCACCCAAATCCTTTGAGTCACTTGCATCAGTTGAATCATGTCAGTTGAACGCAACATTTTGAGTCGTTTGTTCTCAGTTTGATACCCAACTTGACAAGTCAGTTGACAATTGAGTTGATTTGACATTGAAATCACGGTCCGCTCACGAGGAGAGCGGCTGCCCTACGCTGCCCCCACCTTTTTGAAT